TATACTTTATTCGATGTCAACTATCTAAATGAACGCTCACAAACGATTTCACGAACCTCTCCTTTTCCTCAAGACATGTTTTATCAAATGCATAACAAAGAAAATGGCAAAGAGGAAGGGGAAAAAGACGATGTCGAACACAGTCCAAAGGTTGAGTAAAAAGTATCCCCAGCGTCTAGGTTTCAGCCATGACTCTCTTCTTGCTGAGAAAAAGGTGCGATACCATCTGGATTTGACCAAGTTATACACCACTGGATGAGAGATGAACTGCGGAAAAATTCGTCGATATATATCTTTATGCAATAAATTGAATTTGGATTCAGTTGGTATCTACTTGTGACCCATCAGAGGAGAGCCTTAAAGATGACGTCACCATTTAACAAAATTTTGATTTATTATTATTTTTATTCTGGCGACGCAGATGCATCGGCATTTTAACATCACTTGTGATATATTAGAACAGACGCAGGGCAACATAAAATCTATTTGTTGAATGTACATGCAAGAAAGTTAGCAATGCTGAAGCAAAGGTGAAAGATTTCCTAGAAGTAACCAACACAGTTCAAGTTGGAAAATTTTTCAGGTCGGATTACCCGTGGCATGCAGGTTTGTAAAGAGTGCTGATCTTTACGTTCTGCGTCTTGTCATTTAGAGATAAAACCATCGGTAACATCAAGCAACGTAGCAGTCCAAAACTCTCTCTTGATCTTTTTTTTGTCTCGATTTGACGAAGGATTTTCAATGTTGTAATAACCTTTAGAACATTTTCAGTTTCCTGACAAAGTACGTGAAGCACTATTGTTCCTTTCTTCATTTTGACTCATGTAAGTCTGATACCAAAGTTTCACGAGAAAAATAAGTTGCTTTTAACAGAGTTCCTCTGCTACTCTGTAAATACTGTGGAATGACGTTGAATTGGCATTCTGTTTTATCGGAATGGTATAATACTGCGCCCATAAATTTTAAAGAAACTGGGGCATTCCTTCCTCGCTGTAATATCACACAACGCTCCTTCGGTGGAAGTTTTCGGTAACACAGTGTTGTCTGTCTTTTTCCCGTACTTATATCGCGCGCTGGAAAGGGGTCCGAGGTCCCTAGATGGGAAACAGCCTTCCCGCTAGAATTAAATTTAGGGGTGAGGGATGGTATAAAGTATTGACTGGAAACTTTTTATCATTCGTGTAGTACCTTCTTCTGATTCGTATCAATAGCCTTGTCTATCACATAGTCAAAACAACTTTGAAAGGTATTTCTGGTATCGGCGTCGGCTTTAAGAGGATCCATCAAGGTTGATGTGAACTCATTCATAGATTTTTCCAGCTTTTCTATATCACCTTTCTCCGAGTTTCCATCATCTGCTAAATCTCGGAGTACCTTGTTGACCTAATGGAGAAAGGAAATGTAGTTATTACGGTAATCAAACGGCTCTCTAAAAGCCAATGATAATTCAAGTTTGATTAAAAAAATAATTCAGTACAATGAGAGTAAAACAGCCTGCAGTGCAGGCGTCTTATTAGAACGAGTTAGCACTAAGATGCTCGCGATCATTCATTCAACCGGCCATGTTTTATTTGAAGACAGAAACGACGATGATGGAAGGGGGCGGGGAATGGCAAAAAGACGCCATGCCAGCCCGGAGGCTCTTGAAATGCAAAACACCCACTGATTAGTTGCGCGTCACTGCATTTCTGGAAATCAGCAGATCACCAATCAAAATGGGTTAAATTAAAAAACTGGAAGCACCGTCTTCGAACGAAAACAAACACACGTAGAGCCGATGAGTGAAACAGTGAGGCAGTTTTTTTCAGCCAAGAAAGAAATGGCTTGAACAAAACCTCCTCCGCGGTCACAAGTATGAACTGATATTTCCTGCTCTCTATATTTTCCAAATGACAATCCTTGAGCGTAGCTGCTGTTAATCCGTTTGATGAGTTTTCTTCTCTTTGATTGTAACCGATACTTTGAAGTAAACAAACTAATGCACTTGAAGATTTACCCGCCATAATTTGTTTGATGCATATCCGAATATTCTAGAGAAACGGTGTGGCTATTTTTCCCCACCAACGACAGAAATGGCTTCGCCAAAGCCTCCTCTTCTGACGAAAATACGATATTTTCCGCACTCTATATCTTTCAAACAACAATCCGTGAGGGTAGCGGCCGCTAATTATAATCCGATAAAAGATGCTTCTTCCATCTGTTCATAAACAACACTTTGAAGCGGACAAACGACAAATACGCTCGAAGATTTCTCTGTCATAATATCTTTCATACGAACAAACACCCGAAATATCAGGCTTTTTCAAAAGCTCATCTTTCAAACCGGCAGTCTAAGTCCCACAGGTATCAACGAACGCTTTTCATTCCACCAATTTATTCGTGTTTTTCTCGTTGCCATGTTCCCACCAATCACGTAGCTCCATTTTCTGCCTTTAAAAGCACACACAACTCACAATTCCCCTATTTGCTCCGACGAAGGGCTAACGCTCGAAACGTCAGCTTTTATAATCGTAACGGTGGCGAATTTACCATTTCAACTTTGTTGCTATATTGAAATTATTTCCCAAAGCCAGTTGGCAACACGGCCAGCTTAGAAATTGCTTCTTTTGTTCCGATTTTAATGCGCGAGACATACCGCATTCCGAAAGAAACTAAGTGGTTCCTCGAAAGCAGAATTGAAACTAGCAATTTCACCATCAACAGAGTTTGCCATATTTCTCTTTTTCCCGAAAGAGCAAAATGTCCAAATGATACATTTGGCTTGTGATTGACAGTTGGAGCTTAACCTAACCTATCAGGAACTCTGTTCGTGGGCAAACAGACTTTCGCACAACAAACAGACAAATTTATTTCTCTCGCCAGCTTTCCGCTGCCATTAAAATCAAAGATGACGACCATTATTTTCGCTAAGAAAATACTGCACGAGATCGCCAAAATTGCGCCTGTCCTGCTGGCTAAGCGTAAAAAAGTTTTTTTTTTTTTTAGTTTTGAAGTTAAATGGTTGAGAGAGTAGTATGAATATGAAGAGCTAATAAGGAGCAGTGAAACCAACTCACAATATTTAATTTATAAGCATCACTTTTGTCAGTTGATCTGGCGAAACAGCCCTAAGTAGAGTATGCCGGTACTATCGATTAAGATAAAGTTATAATACCAACCTGGAAAGCTTTGAGTAAGGTATTTCTTTCACAGCTTGCCAGGGTTTTTGGAGTCACTTTTTGATAAATAGCGTCGAAATCTCCTTTACGCAGAATATCATCGAGTTCCTTTTCAATTTCTGTAAAACAACCAGACTGACTTGAGAGTGATTAACAAGTATAAACATCTTTAGTTAAACAAACACACAGTTTAAATTGTATCAAGAATGATGGCAACGACCATACAAATCCACTACCAGGACTAAAAGCTATGGTTGAAGTTTCGAATTCCGCCACTCTCTCAATGCCCCTCAAGGGGAAGGAAGAATCTCAAGAACCACGCACAACCTTAAAGATAAGCAAATTGAATGTACGTTGGCCTTATTTGTTTGTGATTCCTTAGTTTGTTTTGGTTTCTTATCTTCCTTAATGCTCTCTTTTACTTACTTTTAGCTTGAAGTTGTTGACTTGAGGCATGAATACCCGCATGTTCGTCCTCGGGTTCTACAAATAGATAGTGGATAAAAATTTAGACCAGTCAATAACTAAACAAGGTCACTGGGCAACAAAAAGTATTATAACATCACCAAAGTAAAGCACGCGCTTTGATTGGTCAATTCAGCGTCCACCATTTGCCCATGGGTGTACGTTGCTGATATGAGTAAGAACAGTTTTTCGCGCGCGCTTGTTTTTCCAGGTCACCTAAGATTTATTAGGTAAAAGAAAACTCTTTTGCCAGAATGTATCAATGTTCTGTTATAAAACAAATGGTAAACGCCTCAGTGTACACTGTTCAGTTACGGATGCACTTGGAAGGTTTGCTAGGCACTCAAGAGGCTAGAGACGCTCTCGGCTATCGCCTCGCGCGACTCTCACGCTTCTTTCGTGCTTCGCAACCTCCCACGTGCATCCATACCTCAATAGTGTACGCTGTGGTGTTTACCATTTGTTAATCATGATCAAATCAAAATCGACTATAAAATATTGTTAGGCAAGTTTTCCTTTTACATATCTATTTCAAAATGAAAAAAGGAATTGCGCCACGCTATCTGGTCAAGTCAAATCGAAAGAACGGTAAAGATCTCATCCTAAATTTTTGCCAGAAAGTTTCGGTTTGTCGCAGAGTGTTCTCAAAGTTAGCCCATAAATAGTTATTTCTCTGATAGCGAATATCCTGCAATGCATGAAGTATTGGTATCTTACAGATCTTCGTAATTCAAAGTGTATGCTAACTCTAGAAAACAGAGAATTGCCTTTGTAACATCCCCATTGATATAATAAATATTACATTCAATAATTAGATCCGATTTGCAGGTCTTTTCAGTAAGCTATTGATCATAATGACGTCAAAATGTGGTAAGAACTTTGAGCAAAAGAAAAGCCGTTTACAAGGCTTTTCTTGATCCCGGCCAAATCCAACACATTGCCAAAATGCGTACACTGACCACAAAAACCATGCGTAACATTGATCCTCAATGCAGGATGTTGCCAAAGGCTTTAAAATTAACAATGGAAATCGAAGTGAACTTCTCGAGAAATTTTTCTCGCCACCAAACCAAACCATAAGTAATGGTTAGGCATTTTCTCACACCTTCGAGAGAAACCAAACTATAATAACAAACTTCTTTTTAAAAAAGACAAATCAATTATGAATTAAGACATGTCATCATGAAGCTCACTCATCATACTTTCTGTGATCTTACTTACCAAAACAAATAGGAAGTTCCCCCTGGACCACGTCCACATCAGCGCTAGCTATGCAAGCCTCGACAGCTGGCTCGGGTAATAGTGAGCCCTCCTTGGGAAAAACCGATCCTTCCTTTTCCGACGTTCCCTGGTATTCATTCAGCAGCTCAACCTATTCTTCTCGCGGGCAACATGACATCATGCAAAGAAGTTTGTCACGTGGAAATGAAGACATTAGTTCAACAGGATTATCTGGTTGCTTCGCAAGCTCGGACTCTTCGTCCCTCGGGCGATAGGAGTTTGCTGCTACTACAGGATCGTCGGAAATAAGTGACAGCTCCACTTCCTCCACCGCTTCAGATCTTAAACACAATTAAACGCATGGAAATGAATCATTAATCAAGTATTCAAGCTAACATGATGAAACGTCAGCAGAATGTCCCCAAATGCCATCCAGGGATGTTAAGAGATGGACTTTAGCAGGGAAGAGGAATAGAGATTTCTGATATCGAGCTAAGATTAACTGAATTGAACGAAAGGACGATGGTGAAAGAGATCCGCAATTTAATGAAAGCGAATCACCGAAATCCTATTCTTATTTCCTGTAGATCAGAGAAATATCAAAAGTTCACCTATTTTGTCGTTACAATTATTATCGTGGAATTCTTGCTTTTAAGAAAACGAATAATTTTCTGCTAGGCTCTCGTGAATTGTCACCACAATTTCAACCTTCTATAGCGGTGGCTTGGATAGATTCTGAGCTGCGCTATTACTTTCTTAGAAATATTGATATGTTCGGTTGAGTTAAGAACTTTTCGCTTTTGGCGTGACGCAGAAGTGAAGATAGTTCAAAATATAGTTCAAATTGATTCCTCCAATTCTCAAAAGAATTTTACGCTCGATACACCATTCAAACACTAAGCTTTATAGATTTGTCGACTCACAGGTGCTTGAATCAACATGAAATCACACCTAACGGTAGCTTAGTGATCCTCGACTAGCTCACCATCTGTTAGTTTGTACTGATGTTTTCACTTTCTCTCAAACCATAGCAGCTCTCGTAAATAGTCACGCCTTTGTATGTTAATTCTCTACCAAGGATCAAAAGGTAAAAAATCATATTTCAAATCAAGTACAGGAAGTCAGCAATTAACGGCACCTCATTTTCAAAATTAAGAAATCATCAAGATCGATCCGATTCGCTTGCTGTATTGTTAAAAAATTGTGTTGCTCTTGAATAGTAGCTTGAGTATCAGCCCGTCCGGAGGGGGGCTGGGGGTTGGCAGTGGAAGAAGTCTCCCTCCCTTCCCCTCTCCTCTCCCCTTCTAAGCAAAGCCTGATACTCAGGCTACTTGGAGAGTACAGCTCAGAGGTTACGCTATCTTGGCTAAGTTTTTTATCGTTTTGACACAAAAATGTCATCAGTTCATGTTTTCACACACTAAATTTCACAAAAGAATCACTAACCAATCAGCTGTTGTTCTCAGTATACTCGCACCGCAGACTTAAAAAAGTTATCATTGTAATCTGATTGTTATTTCTCCCCTCTAGTAGCTACACAGTACAGTTTCTTGGAAATCAGTTACAAGAATGTGGTGTTAGATCCAGTTAACCTCTAGCTGATAAGATTGCGTATTCTCCTAACGATTTTGCTACATATTGAATAGAAATTATAGGGAGAACTAACATGTTGATCACTTCCGGGAGTTAAATGGTTCAAGTTAAGACAGCCATCACTGCTTTTGTTAAAGATATGAAAACAGTGTCATCGGTATGTTATATTTATATCGCCAAATAAATTAATTTTAAAGCCTCTCAAGAGAACGTGATAAAAAGAACGATTAACAAAACACGACATTAGGGGAGCCGGAACCAATCTGTCAAACAAGTCGTAAGAATCATCTCTAACAAACAGAAACCAAAAGGAAAAACGGTTTAGAACTGAAACCGGGACTTCTGTCGTAAGAATTAGCTTGAAAAGAAAACAATCTCAACAATGTTTTTCCTCTTACATGGCTAACCAGCTCAAAGTCTATTTTTTTTACGGAAACTAGTAAGCCGCACAAAGGAAGACTTGTTGTTGTTGCAACTTTTCGTTTATTTCTTCCGACGCGTCTCATCTTTAGCTGAGAATTCTTCAGCCGAATGATTACAACATATAACGGCATAAAGAAAGCTTTTAGAAGTGAATAATAACTAAAAAATGCAGTAAATGGACGTTACAAGAAATAACTTATCGACATACATAAGTTATTGCGCGCTGTATTTTGTGAGCAGAGCATACTTGGAGATCAGATTTCAAAATTACTGTGCATATAGGCCGAGTAAACCAAATCACCGCGTGCGAACAGAACTTGCAAACAGTTTGAAACAAAAGCTCTATTCAAAGAAATACAAAATTTGTTATTTGAAGCGAAAAAAGTCAGAAACCCTCGTATAGGCGACCCAGCTATACGCGTGCTTCAATCGTTGTTTACTCAACTTCACGGACAGAAACTTCCGTGGCGTTATAATGAAATTGTGAAAGTTGTCAGATTTAGAACAAAATCTTCTGTCGCAAAATTCTCCAGGAACATATCAAGACTGAAAAGTAATATTCACCAAACCAAAGAAAGGTCCGAAAGTGGCGAAGGCCCACCAACGTTTGAAAATTTCGTTTTCATTTTCCAGCCATAATTAGTATCGGGTTTCGGAATCGTAGTATTGTTCGCCCGAAAGCTCTATTCGTCTGAATGATTCAAACAAAATTTGCACAATCAATACCGACTTACATCTCACTGGTCCCAGGGTCGGACATTATCCTCCTCCGCAAGCCGCCAAGCACTCTTTTCGGACTGTTGGCTGAAATGGACTTAGAATTGGATTCTTATCTGAAAATAACGTGACGTACACACGAAGCACGCAAACAAAAATTCGGTATTGACCTATCACCTTTGAAGTCGCAGAACAGACCACTACTGGTTCTTGAACTTCTAAGAGGACACAATACATCACCGTTTGCCGCGTAATACTGGTCATGAATAGAAAGGTAAGATTGAATTTCGCGTGCGCGTGAAAGAGTTTTGGATATTATTCATGATGTTTGAAAAGGCCAAATATTTTTACGTGACTGACTTTTACAGAGGGGTATAGGGGGACCCTCTTCTTTGTTCATATGTTTGTCTGTTTATATTTAGGAATGGTTTAACTGTGACGTAGCAATTATCTGTCAGATATCTCTAATGGCGTGAATCGATAAGGCCACAATAATATATAATCTCAGTGGACTAATTACTGTAACAGTGTCATTGCTATCTTCTCAGTTCTCAAAGTAGTTGAGACAGTTCAAGAGGAAGTTATCTGCAGAGACACTTGACCCTTACAAGTGATGTCTTCTATCAACTCGCTCAATAACAACACTCCCAGGGTGAAAATCATTCTCTTACAACATGACAATGTTCTCAGCGCCAAGGTCAATCTAAACCCGAGCAAACATGATAAAAATGCAAAGACATTGTAACGGCTGCTACGCCTTTGTCACCGAACATTAATTCGCTTTAGTTTGATTCGTGTTAAACCACAATATTGACGTTATTGTTTGTCTGTTAGGGACGCGATCATTTAGGGTTCTACCCAGAACCGCACTTTCGTGAGTTGTCTTGCTTTGGGCTAACGATAAGTCCTGTTTATCGGAAGAGCGTTAATTCCATCTTATCTTGAAGTTCGTTGACTGAACTCTTTTAAGCGGGGCTGTTATATGCAAGTGAATAAAGGCTGATAGTTTCTAAAGAAACTGTTTGGGGCTGCGTCGGTGGGGGTAACGAGATAATTTGGATATATCAACAAAGTTTGAATAGTAAATTGGCCACCGTAACGATTACAAAAGTTGACGTTTCGAGCGTTAGCCCTTCGTCGGAGCGAATAGAGGAATTGTGGGTTGTGTGTGCTTTTAAAGGCAGAAAATGGAGCACGTTATTGGTGGGAACATGGCAACGAGAAAAACACGAATAAATTAGTGGAATGAAAAGCGTTCGTTGATCCCTGTGGGATTGAGAGTGCCGGTTTGAAAGATGAGCTTTTGTTCAAGAGTTCTACGGCTTTCTGTGCTACCTAAGTGTAAGAAAAGACCGCAGATTGCCATATGTTGTTTAGAATTATTAGGTAAATCAAAGTGTCTAGCGACTGGTTTCGATGGGTCCTTGTCATTCTTTCCACGTCGCGAAGGTGTTCTCGGAATCGGTCAACTAGTCTTCTGCCTGTTTCGCCGATGTATATCTTTTTGCAATAAGTGCAAGTTATGCAATAGGTTATATTGGCAGAGGTGCACGTGAAGTGATCGGTGATCTTAATGGATCGTTTGGGTCCCGATATTTTATCAGTGTTGTGAATGAAAGGACACGTTTTGCATCGTGCACGAGTTCATTTAAAAGTGTCTGGTTGGTCATCAGTCTGAAAAGAACTTCTGACCAAAAAATTGCCTATGTTTTTGTCGCGTTTGAATGAAATGAGCGGAGGCTGCGAAAAGATAGTGCTTGTCTCTGGATCGTTTTGAAGTAATTTAAAGTTTTTAAGAATGATGGATTTAACTGAGTGGTTGTGAGGGTGAAACGTGAGAGTGAATGGAATGCGGTCGGAATNTGTATGTATGTATGTATGTATGTATGTATGTATGTATGTATGTATGTATGTATGTATGTAAGAGCGTGTTGGGTGTCTTTAATATATGATGGTAAAGTTTTGACGATGGGAGCCATAATTTTGTGTAGATAGCTGGAGATAAGTTCGGTGGGGCAACTGCAAGCGTTGCAGTTGCCCTACCGAACTTATCTCCAGCTATCTACACAAAATTATGGCTCCCATCGTCAAAACTTTACCATCATATATTAAAGACACCCAACACGCTCTTACATACATACATAGATACATACATACATACATACATACATACACACATACTTTATTGTAACTCTCTAAAAAGGATTTTTTAGTCACAAGACCACTAAATAGCTAAAATAAATAAATTACCAAATAACTAATATAATAAATAACATTACAGTCAAACTAAGTGAAGCGTACCCCTCAGGATTACATTAATGATTTGATTATTTGAATATTTAACGCATTAATCGTTTCAGGAGCGCAATAACGAATTGAATATTTGAACATGGAATCCGCTAACCGTTTCAAGAATGTAATAATGGGTTGGTTATTTGAATATTGAACCCGATAGCCGTATTTGTTTTGAAAAGGTGCGGATCATTACTCAAATCAGAAGTCCATTTCTGATTGGATTATACGAACACGTGATGATGAAACGGAACCATTTCATGGCGTCAGACATGGCGGGAAAGGTGAGTTCGGGCGAGTGTTGTACAGA